CCCCCCCGCCACGACCATGTTTTGTTAACAGAACAAATACCTTCCTATAAAGTACAGCTGAATTAAGTCAGTCTACTTCTGCTCCAAGTCCTTGCTCCCAGCTTTAAGTACCCAGTCCTTCAAAAGGTGTGTGCGTCATTTGTCTTCTGCTGTACTTTGCGTGTCAGAGCTAAGGCCTGACCAGTGACAGGAGCATGGGCTGGATTTGCTCCTGGGTTTCAAAGCAGCGCTGTGAATCCGAGTCCCACACGCTACTGCCCACAGCTCAGCGTAGGCACCGGCATGATTACCAATTACAGAGCAGCGCTGCCTGGTCCGTGGTCCCTGTCAGCTGTGAGCAACAGTCCAGCCATTGGGAATCACGCAGTAGGTGCAGCCCCAGATCCCCTGCTGTCACCCAGCCTTTTTGTAAGGTTGAACATCAGTCTGAGTGACTAATCACGTGGATGACTGTCTGTAGTGTGACTCACTACAGAAAAACTATGCAGTGATGTAGGCTGTTAACAGTCAAGCTAGCATAGTTTGGATACGTTGACAGAGCAAATGCTCTGTCTGATACATGCGATGACCAAGTGTCAGGCAGGCTGCTGAATTGTGCTGTTAGAGAGATGCATCAACACATTATGCTTCTGCAGAGTAAGATTTTTCCCTTCAGTAGTACCATTTTTCATGGGCAGCTACTTTCTTTTCAATTCATGAATTTTGGACTCATAAATCAGCAATTTGGGTGATGTCAGGGTTAATTAGTATTCTTAGTTTTCATCTCCTTCATGCTACAAGTACCAGTTAAGCCTGACATCAGAAACTGTTAGCACTGTAAGCTCACAGTGAAGTCCAAAGCAGTGTAACATTTTAAAGTTCTGCAACAAATACTGGAGAAAAAGATATATAACAAAAAAGAAATACAACTAGTATTACCTCTATGGAATACATAAATAACTTGTTGAAGATACTAAACAAATACTTGGCAAATTTAATCATCTTCCTTAAGATCACAAATTGAGAAAGAATTGGTACTAATAACAGGGAGAATCAGGGCATATGTTACAGTTCTGGCTTAGGCTGCTAGTTGCACATCACCTTCAGTACAAAACTGTGTACTAAATATTTAAAATGACGGGCTAGATCAAAGCAAATTCTTACAATAAAATAATAAAAAACATGCACGTTACAATACAGAGCTAATGGCAGTGGCAAATGAATGTATTAGCTATTTTCATGTATACATTAAATATTCAAAAGTATATGCTCATAACTACACACATGTAAAGCTTGCACTCCCGTAATAATACACTAGAGCTGCTAATTAAAAGTAGTTCAAGCCGTGTTCATGTTATTAACTCTGTACAGCATAGATTTATCAGTACCTTTTTGTTCTAATTTAGATTATTTCAAACTACAGGATAAATATTAGTATTGGCCTATCTATAGCTGAAATGACTATCTACTTACCAGCAATGAGGCAACATGAATCATGCACCAAAAAAAATAGAATTTGGAGTCTTTTAAGCATCATATGTTTTCAACAGAACTTTTATCACCATGTGTATCATTTTTATCAACATACATCAGTTCTACCATAAGCTACTGCTTTATGCACATTCATTTACCATACCTATATTGCTTTTTTTCAACAGGTAGTTCATTTTAGCAGGAGACATACTGGACAATTTGCTGACCAAAAAACACAAAACACACACACATACATATATGCATGCACCTAGTAGAAAAAAAGGATTCTTCTAACGCTGAAAAAAATAGTAGCTTGTATTGGATCAACTGGAGCAAAAGACAGTTACTCTGACAGGCTCCAAAAGGAGTTAATTCCAGAAGTATAGATCCGTATCCAGGAATGTCCAGCTGATAACTGTCCGTAATCTGTCGTGGTGTTGTGGCACAGTCTGAAAGGGCAGCTTCCCAAATCATCAGGTTGCAGATCATTTCAGGGTAGGACATCAACATAATCGCTCTCATCAACTTCTGAAAAGAAATCAATATAAAAGGCTCTTGTCATTGCAAATGACAAAAAGACTCCTCTGAAAGACCATTGTAAACAGGGTGGCATGTTTTAGGCACCTACTAATTCCATTTGGCTACTCAGTATTCTCTCTGCTGTGGCAGGCCAACATTTTGGTCCAATGCCCTGTAGACTGGCTCCTTCAGACCACTTCCCATATGGAGGAGAAGCCAGTGTTGTCTTTCCTGAACCGGCAATCTCAGTATTTAAAAAGTTGTAGCCACATAAGAACCATTCTTCATGAGAAAGTCAAATGTTGTAAATCATCTGTTGTCAGTAAATCATATCAACAGCCCAGATTGCTGTGACTGTAGCATAACACATCCTTTCTTCTCTAAATATTTCCAACAGAAAAGTCAGCTAGAGGAGGAGAGCCTGAAAAACCCTCTTTCTCTCTTAGGTCTTTTTGAATTTATTATTTTTTTGAGAGCTCTGGGAAAGGCAGAAATTGTATGCTTAGGACTCTGTCTCCCACTGTGGAAACCTACTGTCTCTTCAAGTAGCCACCCTCAGACAAATTTAATTTAATTTTTTTTAATTTTCATTTAATTTTAATTTTTATTTTTTCTAGACCCTTCCTGGGCTAGAAAACAATAATCAAAATTGCCTAATGACCAGCACCGTGACCCCAGTCCTGTGAGCTGTTCCACCGATCGCACTGAAAGGCTCAATCCTGTACATGCCACAATGCCAGCTGCTGGTGCAACAGAAGGGACCAGGCCAGGAGAAGGATATGGTGCTTGTTTTAGGAAGCCTGCATTTCAAGGAGATATCTAAGCAAATCTAAATCTAAGCCAAAATAAGCATTTTTTTCCTCCATAGGAAAGGTTATGAATACAGTTTTTGTTCCTCAATGACATTGTTGTCAATATTGAAATTTACCATAAAATAAAAATTTCAGAAATGTTAGCTTGGATTCGTGTTGTACATCAGTAAGATTGAAATGTTTTGTTATGCTTTTGACCTCACTTTATAAAATAGAATCGGAGTCTGGAACAAAGTCATTTTGAAATGAGAAATAAAAAACGTGCAAAATGTTCCAGCTTTATTGAAATACTCTTTTTCTCCTTTCAAGAGAATATTTAATTGAAATTGATGTATTTCTATAGAAAAATCAGTTAGTAGCATAATAGTATTTCCTGACAGAATATTTGTTCAGCTGGAAAATTTTAATTGGCTGCAGTAGGGATAAGCTTTTTTAATAAAAATCTTTATATGTCAAATCCTTATTTCTTCAAACTGAGGGCAGATTTTACCAGCAAGAGTGCTTCCCTTCCCGAATTGTCAGTAGAGATACCTGATGGATTTCTGATTACTATACCTTTGCATTGACTTTTGATGAAAGAGAGGAAAAAAGAAAAAATAATAAAGATACTACATGATTCAGGAATTCAGTCTTTTGAGGTTCAAAGCTAACAGCACCAAAGAAAGGAGCCACCAGGAATTTGAATAAGAGAAAGGACTGCAGATTATTTAACCCTTTCCCCTAGGCAAATTTGGCCGAACCTCTCTTTTCCCTGTCTCTGTGTTTATCAAGTCACGTTATTTTCTGTCAGTTTCCATGTACCAGCTTTCTGTGGTTCTGGCATCTGTTCCAAGAACTTTAGTGCCATGACACTAGCTCTAAGCTTTATTAGCAGTCTCAGAAAGGCTCAATTTAGGACTACTCTCCCACTCCGACATATGATTCAATATAGAGCCTGTGAGGACTGATAAAAGAAGGAACTGAGGGAAGAGAGGGGAAAGGATGTTCAGTCTGTGCAAGCTGTGCTCGCAGGATTCATTGGTGTTGACCATAGACCTGTCAATGCAGTTGCTGTCCTAAAAAAAGAAAGACAAAAACCAAACTGGATTTCTCACCATCATAAATGTCATCGATGGCTGATTTGAATCTCAAGCTTCTTTGTGAGGGCATCAATTTATTGACTGGGTAGCGAAGGTTTATTACTAGCCCTTGGTTTGGCTTTTCATAGGTGTATATTAAATCCTTTAAAGTTCTGAAGGTCTTTTGTGGAATACCTTCAGAAGTCTGCGAGGAAGGAAGAAGAAAGTTGGTTTGCAATCGTATTTCACAAGAGGTCCCCTAAGTGAGAGGAACTGTTTGTAGCTTATTCCTTACCAAGGGGCTGTTTTCTCAGCAGATTTGTCAACAGAATATTGTACTACACTTAAAACAGTAGGGACACCCATTTGGTGGTGTGGTTATAGCGCTAGGTGTAACCTCCCTCACCATCCCAGTCCGAGCGCACGGCAGCCAGGAAGAAGCTTGTTTGATGCTCCCTGCATTCATTGGGATCACAAGCTTCCCACTCTAGCAGGAATAAATTTTACCTCCTTCACTCCTCTAACCACTGTCTGTAACCAACCCCTCATTGCTTTGCAGGCCTGGCTGCATCTCAGACAGTCTCAGTTCCTCCCTTCAGGAATCCCTGGCCAGGGCTCTAGGACTAATCACCTGCTGAAAGTGCAATTATTTTATTTAACAGTTCAAACATTGATTTCAGTCAACTACAGTCCATGTCTTGGAGAATTTCACCCTTCATCACAAGACAGACTTGTTTTTCTCTTAAGCTGCAAAAGAACAGAACCACTTGCTGTCTTTTGGGAAGCCATGGAGGTCACGGTGCCCGGGTAAATTTCTCATATCCTGCATTTGCCCTTCAAGACTTGGTCTGTGCCACAGAAAGGTTTTCTGATATTGCTGTCCTGGTAAACCACCTGGACACAGATGCAGTCCAGGACTACACCAAAAAGGCTCCTTAAAATACTCGCATGTTGATGAGGGTAAGTAAAAGAGGTTCGATATGTATTCTGGAGCCTTAAGCAATACACAGTTGTAAGGAATCATATCTCTGTCTGATATCAATGAGCTGACCAAAATTTCTCTTGCAAGCCTAGGTCTGAGTCCCTCAAACAGTCTTTCCCCAAATTGTTCCATGCAGTTCTAGCTAGTTTTTTTCCAGCAGAGGAGCTAAAACCATTGCAGATACCCATCTACCACTTCCAGTTCTGGACGGTATGGTATGTGTCATCAGTCTTGTGGCTATTTCTTTATTATGGTTGCAACTATTTTAAGTTGCAATTTAAACTATTGACTCAAGTGCACACTGAAGCAATCAATTACAGCAGAATTTAGAAGAGTGAAAACATTACAATCTTCCTTCTCATTTTAGAACATGAGTTTAGGGATAATGCATTTAGTTCCTACTTAAAATACTGGGTTCAAACAACTAGGTGACAAGCGGAAGCCAAAGGTTTTACAAAATGTCGGCACTACCAAAGACATCTGCAGATGCAGCTAACGTGTCCGGGGATCCGTGTTAAAGTTCCAGCTACCATCTTTCACTTTCAGGCAGGAGTTGATTATTTGTCTCAGATTTGTCTAATTTTGTGACTAGCTCTGGAAACTCTTGAGGTCAGGGATGGATGGCACAGCTCTTAAGCGAGGGAACATAGTTCTCACAAACTGCTTTTTAACACAGTTTCACAGAGCCACACTAAACTGCCTCCGCAGCGCAGATCCATACCGAGGTTCTTGCAACACTGATACTTTAAGACAGTGACAGACAATAAGCATATTTATCAGCTGTTTTCGCAGTGAGGGTCCTACTTCCAATACAATTCATTAAAAGTGAACCCGGCTTTGGTTTCCCTTCATTCACTGTCTAGCAAAAGGCATTTCTGTTGTTCTTTTTATGCGTCGTCTTCCATTCAGCTCTGAATAAACTGGATGCCACTGTCTCTAGAAAGTTCATGGGTGTATCTGCCTTTAAAAAACAAACAATGCCCCCTCCCCCATCAATATATTATTTCAAGATATTATTTTGGTAAGGCAAAACAGTCTGTCTTCAAAATCTTGAAGAACAGAGCTTTCTTTCATATTGTTGGCAAAACCCTGCAAGAAAAATTGGATTTGAAAAAACTGAAAGTGTTTGAGTTATTAGCTGCTGACAGGCACAACACAAAATCCAGAAGAGCAGCTATAATCCAAAATAGGCTATTTTTTGTCAATAAACCATTCAATTATTCATGGAAAATTATGCTTTTCATGATCAGCCCAAAGCATTAATAAACAAGAGTTACCACCATATGACAACTTGGTCTGTCGTGTGTGAAGTGAGTTTAGTGACCTTGTTCCACTTAAATGCTTTTTAGTTGTTGACAGTCGTGTTGGCTATCCTACTAAAAGCAAAGGAGCGAGCCAGCTTTTTCCATTGTCGTCTCACCTTGCCTCTAGGTTAAAGCTTTGTTTTTGTAGGGATTTGCCTGATGGCGTCTACTCTCACGCTTATTCCAGCAATGAGCAGCGTTTTCTAGGGCTGTCGCTTCAGTTGCCTCAGAATCACACAGATCTATAGATAGATGTTTTAAAATCAAAACGTTCATCCCAATATTCAGAAGCCCCTACAAGATGCTGAATGCAGTGGCAGAGATTTAAAAAAAAAAAAAAAGATAAAGGAGCGGATAATGAAAGTGATCTTTTTTTTTTCAATAGTGTCAAAAAGAAATGGCCAAACCAGAAAGTACTTGGTCAACAAATAAGAGATGCTCTTAGGTTACAAGGGATTTCTGCAGAGATAATAGTTACTTCTGAGCTCATATGCAACAATAAGTATGACATTAAATAGTCAAGAATTGCGCAGGGTAGAAAGCAAACTTGGAAATATTTTCTACAGTACAGTGTTCATGTACATATATATCTATATTTTAACCAGGAAAATGTTTTTTAGCACAATCTTTAGAGATGAAATGAGGGTTACTTACCTGTATTCTAAAACACCCTTGGTGTTCCCTGAAGATACGATAAGTGTAGATGAGTTCTTCAAAGCTGTGAAAAACATTGTTTTATACGTTATGCCTTTTGTCAGACTACTGCAACTACCATAGACTGTTACAGCTGAACCTGACAGCAAGGTTTGATTCTTGGTTTTTTGCTTGTTTTTTACAGTAAACTGCAATACAGTGAAAGTCTGAAGCCAAAGAAACAAATCTCAAGGAATGCTTAATGCTAAATATCATCAATTGCGTACCAGAACATCACTTGTAAAAACAGCTATGTTAGAAAATACCTGGACATTTCACTACTCAGTGGGACACTTGAAAAGAAAAGTCAATGTCAACTTCACAGCCCAATTTAACAAAAATGAACAAAACACTCACCAGCTCTTTAAAATGTATCCAAGCAGATATTTTCCATTAAGAGCATACTAACTGTACCAAAAGTCATTTCATAATTATTTGTCTTTCAAGACTGCCATTAAATAGGGTCATTTTGAACTTCGAGTATGCATTCATTTTTTCATTTGATTCATATATTAAAGCATTCAAAATGCTTTGGATTCTATTAGTAATATTTTTATTTGACTCTTGATGAAATTAGTTATGTATGTTTTTTCCTAAGCCTCAGAAACCCAAATATTGCTTTATCATACCTTACCTCAAATCTAGCCCTTTGTATATCAAGACCCTGTTTAGATCTGTTGAATTTTGGACAAATGCACAGCTCTCTTCTTTGCTCTGCAGAGTTAGGACAGGTATGGTAGGCATAGCTAAGAGTGCTGGGTTCAGTGTGCAGCCATTGCACTTTGCTTAGCATAGATACTGGTCAGCCATGTCCAGCTAGCTTATGTACATCCAGGTCAGCTAGTTGCCTAAACATTTCTCCAGTTTCTTAGGTACGTCTCCTGTGCTAAGTTCTATACTACTGCAGCTGCAGTAAAATAGTTCTGGTAAGTCAGAGCAATGAAAATGCTTTAGGATTATACACCCAGAAGAGGGCTGACTGTCCCTGAGAATTTGTATTACTTGTTCTGAGATAGTAAGAAAATGCAAAAGAAGAGTCTAGGACTCCACTGTGAGGTGTTGTGTAAAAGAAAGAAGAGTGTCCTTGCTCCCATAGGATGCGTAAGTCCTTGCTCACTATCAGCAGAGTTGCTTCACTGCACTGGAAACCACTTTGTGCACATCTCAACATGGGAATAAACTGCAGGCAAAGGGGTGATGCGTGTATCATTGAGAACTGCAGAATCTCTTATCAGTGGTGAAGAAAGGGGAGCCATGGCGCAGTCAACCCTCAGACTCCAAGCTGGGGAGCTAACCATCAGGCAGTCTTTTCACGCTCTAAACAGTGCTAACACATACCTCTACTTCAAAAATGGTTATACCGTTACTTCCGTCTTTACTGTTTAACTAAAACATTTGTTAATGCACAAGCTAAAGTCAAATACACTGCCTTCTCATAACACTGAAAACTCACAGAGGCTAGCAGGAGTCAAACGAAGTCATATGCTTTTCCGTATGTCTGCCCAGAACATTATAGAGGGACAAACACATCTGCAAGCTTTCCACAGAAAGAAGGAAAGAAAGAAAGAAAGGAAGAAAGAAAAAAAGTAAGCAAACAAGCTGGCAAGCAAGCGTGGCACCAAGCTTAAGCTTTATGTTAGTCCAGAGTATGGCCAGAGCAGGCTTGCATCTGCATACTGTGCAGATGTGTCCTCTGTTGCTGAAGTAGTTCAAAGTCATTACACACACCTAAGTAGCCCTTCAATTTCTCAACTACCGCTGTTTCATAAGAGATAAGTAGCCTTTCTCCCATGTCAGGGATGAGTATTTTCATTCCTTCTCCAAGCCCCTCCCCATGGGCTCTGGTTGTCCCCACTTGCTATTTCTCTCCTTTTCCCTCTATTTCCCTCTGATAGCATAGTCGTCTTTTCTCTTACCCACCAGCCCCACAACACTGCATTTCACCCTATCTTTTTCTCCTTCTCTTTTGTTTTGCACCAAAAGTCATGAGATTTTGATTATTGGTGCAGAACATTTCCTGATATTTTTGAACTAATTAGATGTGAGCGTTAAAAAAACTTTCACTTCACACTCAGACACAAGCACCCTCAAGAAAAGCATGAAACATCATGTGGTCAGACAAAAAAATGACTCAGAACAGACTTACTGTTTTATAAACTTTGAACACATTAGGAACAGATCTACTACATATGAAAAGTGTAAAATGGGCATCTTGGAAGGAAAGTAAAAGTGCTTTTCCCTAAAACATAAAGTTTTAACCTCAGTAATTAAAATTAAGAATTATAAGTAGTACTTTTCTATGCCCAGCTTGTTCACAGGCTTGTCATATGAATTTGGGCAGGGCAGTATAGCTTTCTGTCCCAGTTTATCTTCTTGCAACGGATAAACTACCTTACAAGCACAAGGCCGACCTTTCATTAAACAGTCGTAAAGCATATGAAGAAGGAAATGTTCCATATCCTACCATGAGATGTTTTTAGTGCCTAAATAGCGCTAAAACACTACTTACTCATTATTACAGATGCAGTAACTGTCAGCTTTGAGTGAGGTTCTTCTTACCGTATTTTTTCAGGCTAAGCTATTTTCTCTGGGCTCCCTTTATTGTCTGCAGAGAGACACCAGCATCAGCAGAGAACGGTTCATCCGTCCTCTGTTTTATAAACTGTCTTTTGCAAACATCATCTTCCACTACACGCTATAAAGAAAGCCTAGGGCAACTGGCATTGACTGAAAATACAGACACACATATTCTGAGTCTTTTAATACTAGGGAAGAACTGTGAATAGTAGCAAAGTTGAACTCTTATCTTTGCATCTATTTTAAAACTTATTAAAAATTCTTATTATATTATTATTATAATAATTAAACAATATAATAAAATATAATTAAAATTCTTATAATATTAGAGTACTTACAAGACACACAGACACAAGGCTCCTGCTACGCTTTCACTCTCTCTTATTAAATAGCTACCATTCTTTCCTTTCTTGATCAGTAGTTCTTCACAAGTTTTTCTTGTTATTTTTCCATGAAAAAATGGGAACTCCATGGACAAATAAAACCAAGGTATCTCGTCTTTCAAACCAATTCCAGGTCAGAAGCCCGGCATTAGAAGACTTATTCTAAATGCAGTTGCCTAGAGACAATTGAAGTTGGAGGTGCTGAGTATATAGATGAGTTCATCTGCGTCATTATTACTGATCTTTCTATAGCGCAGTCAGTTAACAGTCTGTGCTAAAAGCTCATGAAGGCAGATAAGGAAGGAAAGGGGAAATGGTTTGCCTCCACTGGTCACAGTCTACATCAGAAAGGAAGTTTTTTTGTCACATTGTATTAACAGAGCTGACATTTAAAGTTGCTCAAATTTGGTCTTACGTATAGCGATCTTGGTCATTATGTTGAAAAAATGCCACTTGTTTCATTCTTTTTCTTGCCAGGTTCACTTTCTAACACTGGGTTCTGGGGGTGGGTGTTAGATTTACTTATTTTTCAAGTTTCAGCAACATATGAGAATTAGATTTTTCAAAACAGGGCATGTTCTCCCTGCACCCTTATTTTTAAAATACAGATATTTTATCAAGAAGTCTGTGGTCTCTGTGCTATGATGTGAAAATGTAGCAGGAAGGAGAAGGGGGTCAGATAGATAGTGCCTTTTGTCACCTCTGGGAAAATGCTGTCCATTGCAGAAGGCCAGATACAACCATGTGTAAAGCTGCTGCTACTCAACAGAGGAAATGCTGCCCAGCTCCATGGGAGATGCTCTCCCAGCCATTTAAAAGTTACCCTGTTGGAAGCGGAGGGCCAGAAGAGGAGCAAGCCGACATGGGGATGCAGGATATGAGAATCAGGTTAGGCAGTATTTGTGACAGAAAGGAAACTGAGGGAGGACCTAAAGATGTGGGGAAGGCTGTGAATCGGATGGTGAAACCGAAAAGAAAAGAAGCACTGATAGGGCAGAGTGACTGGGGTTAGGGTTCTGGGGGAAAAAAGACAGGGGCAGAGATGACAGGAGAGACAAAGACCTCAAAAGAGAGGGGATGGATTTTGGACCATGCAGTATAGCTCACTTCTGAAGCCAAAATGGAGACCAGAGCATTGGCAGTGGCATGGGTCTTCCTGATTTCAAAACCTACCATTTGAACCCTAACCTCCCAGCTCTAATACCTACAACCAAATCTCCCTGACCCACAGTTCTCGTGAAGTTTCATGATTTCCCTATCGCCAGCCAGTGCCAGCGACACCTCCCCCACCCAAAGCCAACGAGGCCCTGCAATTTCAGCTCACCAAGATGGTGACATCTGGCACCACTGCTGCTTAATCCATTAGTGCCAGGGACAATAGGCTGATGTGGTGCCACTCCAGGATCCAGTCTTGCTGATGATCCACACAGAAACCAAGGAAATGCCAAAAGATGATATTTGGGTATTTTTCCCCTTCTTTTTCACAAGTCATTCTCCATTTAAGAAAAGCTCCGCTAAACGTGCAATGGCAAGTACTCAGCAGTTAGGAAATGCCAGAGTTGTAGCATGCTGCCGGTAAATTCCTAATTCTCCTCCCTTTGTGCAAAATGCAGGATAATAGAGGATCTGCTGTAATGGGTGGGAAGGTCAGTCATACGTCTATATTATTTTTCCATATGAAAACCTGCCTCACTAAAGCCACAGGCTGGACTGCACTACATAAACAAATCAAGGTTGTACGGGGAGGAGGAAATTGTTTACAGGAAGTCTATATTTTTTGTTCAGAATTAAGAAGTGAATTTTAGAAAATAAAATGAATGTTTGCAATGTGCTGAACAGTCTAGTGGTGAAACTATAGAAAGTTCCAAAAAAAGACTTTATAATTCTCTGTTCAGGCAGAGGTTTAAACAGACTTCAGCAAAATAAGATGTAGAGCTACACAAGGATTATAATAAGGAAACAAAGTGTGAAATACCGTGGCCACCGGCATCCTGGCCACAGAGTGGGGAAAATATCCTGTGGAGGAAAGGAGGTAAATAATCACTAAATTAAAAGTAGCATCATAACGCCAGCCAGCAATGATGACTATGTTTAGGTTGCACATCTAGCTGTTACTTTCATGTACCTTACCCTGACAACTTCCTGTACGCAAAAATCGTATGTTAACATACGTGCTTTTAACTGCAAGTTAATCATGTGTCATACTAACAGCATATCCAGATGACACCTTAGTTAAATCAGGTATAAAGCAAATAGATATGGCTTTATGTCAAACAAATTTGGGAGTTGTTAGAAAAAAGATTCACCTAAAAGAAAAGCTCCTAGAAATGGCAAGTCTGAAGGGAAGCTAAAGCTGGTGTTTGTACTGTAGTAATCACAGATTACCATAACTTAGCAGTAAAACAACTCCTCATCTCCAAAGGGATAGCAAGAACGGGGAGAAAATGATCCCTCCTCACCTTGCAAGTGTTCTTAACAGCATGTAGTAAAGATTCTCCATGTTCAGGTACAGCTGTATTTTCCTACAGATAAAAACTGTTTGGGGCTTTTGTCTATACATCTTATAAATAAAAAGTTTCCGTGAGGCAGTTTAAGGAGAATGACTCAGCTAGAAGCCCAGCTCTGAGAAGAAACAGCAGCGGCTGCTTAATGCTGCCCTGCTTCAGGCAGGTTCTCTCTCCTCTGAATTGAAAGGAAAGCCTACAGGGAACGGCGGCAAACTTCTCTTTCACGAATGTAATGACTATATGTTCTTCACAGTTTTCCCTAAAGACCTCATTAGCTGGGAACAGAAACAGAAGATAGAATCAAATTCAGTAGAGCTTGCAGGCTTATATCTCAAAGTTATGCAAAGGGAAATGGCAGCCACATATCACCTCTTGACTACTTAGTAGGGTGCTCCTCTGATGACAAGAAACCCACGAGAAAGGGGAAGTGCCCCAAGAGAAATGAGGTTTGGGGGCTCTTTTCAGCAGTATCCAACATCTACAGCCTGACCACCTTCCTCCTCAGCAATATCAGGAGCAGTAAGTTCATTCTTGCTCTGCCCTTGCCTTTTCCTTCCCACGGCAGACGCAATATTGGCTGCCAGTCCTTAAGTTAGCACATTTCAATCTATGCTCCTCAGAAGCCTTGAAGTAGTTCTAGTAAATATATGATGAGATTTGAGACGATGCCAAGACCCAGGCAGAAGACATCTGGCAAGGGGAAGTGGAGAGAAAGATTTGGGCGGAGGAAACCAACTGGGCACCTCAGTGGAGGGAATGGCTAACAGTGTAGTAGTATAACGGCTAAGGGTTATCAAGAACTTGGAGAAAAGCATTTTTATTTTCATTTCTATAGCATTTGCAGGAGTACAAATAGAAGGGAATAAGTGGACAGGAGTTTGAAAATATTAAGAAGAAATATTTGAAGAGGGAAAACTCAGGTTAGAGGGAGAAAGAAGTTACCCTTTGA